ATTCATATTTTTCTATAATCATTCTGAAATCCAGATACCATTAAACCTCTAGGTTTGAAACTTTTCCTTCACGTGTCTTGCCATCATTTCATCACTCTCTGCTTTGGTTGTTTCTTGACCCACACTTGATGGATGATTTTGGTACCCATGGCACCATTAGAACATCCTCATTCAGTCATGTAGCTGGGGGCAAGTCTCTCTCAGCTGCTGGGCTGCAAAGTTATTTTTAAATGGCAGCCTTGACTTTCCCATTGCCACCCTGAGTGCATAGCTGGTGCCAGGCACACGTCTGTCCCCAGTGCTCAGCCCTGAGGCACAGGAGGGCTCTGAAGTGAAGTGTGAGCCAGCGCAGGACAGTTGGAGGATAGTTCAGACAACTACTGAGTAACATGTTTAAAACTTAAAGCAGTGATTTTGTTTTTCTTTTCCAACTATGTTTATAAAGACATTTCAGTTCCCTAATCCAACCTCCATTCCCCTGTGAAGGTTTAGACATGATTGGATTTCATTCCAGTGTAGAAAAAACTGAGATTAAAAACTAATTCAGAAACATGGGAGAATCAAACTGTTAAAAGTAGAAGTCTTAAGAAAAATGAAATGTTTTCAAGTTATATATATCTGTAGAAAATCTTAATTTAGTTAAAACAAGATAGTATTTAATTAAAACTCCTTTGATGATCTTTGTTTTTAAGCGAGTTATTTTGGAACTATTTTTTAGAAGATGAACTGAACTTTGAAGTATTTGGAGCATCCTTAATATATTTTAGGGTTGGCTTATTCTCCTATACTTGGCAGTCATGAAGCATTTGAATAGATATGTTGACAGTTGAAGTGAAACAAATGAAAAGACATCCTCCTCAGTTCAGTCCTTTTTTCTTATGAGTACAGTCTAAATTCCTTGCACATTTACTAAGGGCACTGAAAGGGAACTAATTCTTACGTATCTGAGTGAGGCAGAGAGTGGGTGATTTTCACTGTTGTAAAGAGTCCTGATTCTTGGTTATATTTGATAGCACTCCCTTTTTGAGAGCCTGTTGTTTAAATAATGCTGGTTTTAATGTTAGCTGTCAGCTGTTGGCCAGTGCTACGTGCTTGGTGGTTCACATATGCTACCTTATTTAATCCTGCCAACAAACTTATGAAATAGGTGTTTTTACCTCCCTTGTACAGAGGAGGAGGTTGCAACTTAGAGAAGTGAAGTTAGCAGAGGAATTCTCACTTGGGGTTCTCTGAAACAGAGGCTGATTCTGCCACAGGCGGTCTGGGAGGTGATCCAGGAAGCAGGAGGGAGGGAGCAGGGAGAGTGAGATTGCAGAAGAGGAGCTAAGAGGAAGGGCCTCACTGAGCTGCTGCCCAGGCAGTGTGTCCAGAATGTGTCCCAGAATCATCCACCTGAGGATGGGAGACAGGCTGGCACACTGACTGCTGAGAGCTGCCCTCAGTTCCCCAGAACTTCTGGGCTATGCTGGCTTGCGGGCTCTCTGGGACTCAAGAGAGTCCTCCTCTGCCTGGAAAAACAGAGGGAGGCACCACACAGACTGGAGCTGGCCCTGTGTGTGCACTGATGAGCTCACACAGAGCCCCATCCCACTGTGGCCACTGAAGGCAGACGTGGGCTAGACTGCTGTGAGGATAGGACCCAGTGGGCCCTGATTCCAAGGCTGAGTCAGACCATTTCCCCATAAACACAGATGTGACATGGTGGGTGACGTGGGGATGTAGAGAAGACACATGATAATTACCGCAGTGTGGGGAGAATGCACAGAGGAAATACTTTCCGTCTGACTACACGCAGTCGGAAATGTTTACTATTCTGTTTGTGTCATACATGAGCTTGTATGCCTTATATATGTATAGATTAGAATATAAGAAGAATGACCAGAATATTCTAAGTATTAGATACTATATCTGACTTGAGAAGAAAACTCAGCTCTGTTACTGTGTTCTAAGATCTGTCCTGCATCTGTGATTATACTGTACCCACAAGTTGTAAAGTGTGATGCTGGGAATGTGGGGAGTGTGGAGGGGCTAAGGCAGATCAGCTGGGCCTCCTAGACAGGTGACCATGCAAGATCTGCTAACTTTGCTTTGTTAAAAAATCGCACGACAATACCCCAAAGATGTTGACAGTCTGCCACCCCTCAGATGAACAGGAGGGAACAAAGCTTCGGGTAAAATTGTTGGTAATAGTTTGTTGGAGGACAGTAAGGTAGCTGAAATATTCTACTAATCACTAGATTTTCTGAAATAATAGCACCCTGTCCTTTTACCAGACTCACTCTGGTATCAGCCGGGTATCTGCACAGGCTAGGTGTTACAAAACATTTGCTTAGGGGAAAGAACTCAGATTGTCCTCTTTTGATTCTCCTATTAGCCAGATTCAGACAAGGACTAGAATTCATACCAGCTGTTTGGAGTGATCCCATATTGCTGTGTGATAGATCATCACAACTCGGCAGTTTAAAGCAACACAAATGTATCAGCTCACAGTCTGTAGGTCAGAAGCCCAGGCATGATGTGACCGGGTTCTCTGCCCAAGGTCTCCTGAGTCTGAAGTCAGGGTTCACCAGAGTTCCGGTTCCTTGCAGTTTCAGGACAGAGGCTCCTTCCTCTTGCTGGTGCTCTCAGCTCCTAGACATCACCAAAGGCAGCGAGAGAGCATGGCCCTGTGTCAGATCCTTCTCATGCCTCACATCTCTCTCCAGAAAGGGCCTGCTCCCCTTCATGAGCCTGACTGGGTCAGGCCGGCCCAGACACTTTCCTCTGGCGAGGTCAGCCCTGCCACGGAGCAACTGCAGGGCAGGCACATCTCAGAGCGGAGGTCTGGGTTCCCTAGGACATTGCCTGTACCTTCTATGAAGCATAGAAGACTTAAGATCCCAAAGCAAGTTTAGAAATAACCCTTAGATTTATGTAGCAAGTGAATGATGGTAAACATCTGACCCTGATTTCATTTTCTGTTTTCTCCATACATGCCAAGAGGAGAGACTCATCACTGGAAAACATTTATCAGCTGGAAAGTTGGGGGTTCTTGTTTGAATGACCAGGCTAAGTTTGATAATCGTAGTAGTTCTTGCCTGGTGTTACTGATTCAGGCCTAACTTGATGGGTCACTGGCCGCTGTAATTATCAGGCTCTTTCACATTATTTTGTATACTTTTCATATCCATATTGGGTTAATATTTATATCCCAAGTTTTCAGGTGAGAAAGGTTAACTGACTTAGCCAGGTTGCATTGTCAATAACCACAAACAAGCCAAGACTAGGGACTTCCTAATACTCCATAATGGCTACAGACTCAATTTTGTTGTTATTGTTGTTACTTCAAAACTATGGCTCTAAATCTCTTACCTTTTTTCCAGTTTTATTGTGGTAAAACACACGTAACAGTCTACCTTTATAGCACTTTTTAAGTGTACAGTTCAGTAGCATTAAATGCATTGTGTTGTGCAACCATCACTACCATCCATCTCCTTAACTCTTTTCGTCTTTTTTTTTTTTTTTTGAGACAGAGCCTCAAGCTGTCCCCCTGGGTAGAGTGCCGTGGCATTACAGCTCACAGCAACCTCC